CTCTCTCTGGCCTCGCCGAGCCCTGGCCCCAGCAGCCCCTGGGCCCAGAGAGGGCCGGCGGTAGTCCCTGAGGCCCTGCACGTTCTCGGCGCGGGAGGCTCGAGGCTTTGCGGGCGCTTCCGTCGGTCTCGGCGGTCTCTCCGGCCTCGGGGTGCGCTCCAGCGGCCGCGTCTCGTCGAGGGCTTCCCGGGGCGGCCCATCTCGCTCCGAAGGGCCGCCGGAGAGTCGAGTCACGAGCCCCAGGGACTGTGCGCGGAGCCGCGCGGCCTCCACGGAGGCTGGGGACCCGTCAAGGCGCAGTTCGAGGGCCTGCGACGTGCGACGTTAATGCGGTCGGGCCGTTCGTTCATCCGCACCCGATTCGTGGGCAGAGGGGCACTGATCTGAGGTCGGGCGTGTCCCCCTACAGGCGGATTTTGGACGACACGTTTTGAAGCATACACCAAACAATAGAACACATCACACTACAAACGATCAAACAATCTTCCCCTGTCTATTTCTGGAGTATTTTTGACCATTCCCCTTGTAGGGGGACACAGGCCCGACCTAGCACTGATCATCAAGCCCTCTGTGACGCCCGAGCGACCGGCGAGGAGCCGCCTCCGGCCGCTGCGACCGCTGCGGAGGAGTCAGCATCCCCTACTGTTACGTCGGCCCTGTCCCTCTACAGGGGGGAGTTTCATAAACAGTCAAAAATCGTCTGGGGACGTTTTGGGGGTGAATTTGTTAACATTTCTGGAATCTGCTCTGCGTATTTTCAAGTTTTCCGCCCAAAATCTCCCTGTGGGGGGGGGGCAGTCCCGACCGAAACCTGCCGACGGCTCGTCCCACAAGGCCGCGGCACAAGGCACGGGCGATGGCTCCTCCGGTCGGGCTCCGAGCGCTGAGTGGAGTGCTCGCTGTGCTATCGCCCGTTCAATGACGCCTGAACCTGCTGGCCCGTTCGCCGTTTTTGGCAGAGACGGCGTGGGATGCCCGCTCTCAGCTCAGAAGCTGGAGAGACTGGAGACTCTGCGCGAGGATGCAGCTTTCGTTGCTGTGGGTCGCCATTGTTCTGTCAATTCTTGGCTGCATGCGGCGTCCTGGGCAAGCATCTACTTTTTTGCATGTGGCTCCCTGGCGCAACTTGGTACATTTTTGTCGGGGCACGCAAGGGTCGAGAGATTTGCTCTTTTGTGTGTGATTCACTCATGCGCCGACCCATTTTGTCCGATCTCACTAGCAGGGATAGGTGAGAGAGCCTCGTGTCCACCGTCTTCTGATTTTTACATCCTTGCTGTTCCTCGAATGCTCTTGGGGCACAGTCGTGAAACCGTGAAGCCGAGGACGGGGAGGAAGAGGAGAAAGAGGAGGAGGAGGATGGAGGCAGAGGAGGGGGAAGGAGGAGGAAGATTATTGCCGACGGTGCGATGTTTTTGCCGCGATGTTTTTTGGTTCGTGACGTCGGATCTCATCGGCTTCGGCTTCGCCGGAGGGTGGGGCCACAAAGAGGGGGATTGGCGCATCATCGCCTGAGACATGTGCGCGGACGAGGGGGGGGCGGAAGGGGACGTGTTCAAAGAAGAATATCGAGGACGCGCAGATATTCGAAGACGAACAACTGCATACACATGAACTTTCGGAGCGCCACGAGGATCTCTTGTATCTGCGCTAGAACCCCCCCCCGGCGGCGCCTTCGGCGCGCTCCGCGCGCCAAGGAGGGGGTTTCAGGGCAGAGCCAAGAAGTCCGCGCGGACCTCCGAACATACGTGCTCATGATTTTGTTGTCCCTCCAGACATGGACTGCAGCGCGTGGGTGAGCGAAGGGTCGGGGCGACCCCCCCCCCACTGGAGCGGGCTGGGGGCCTGCGCCGTGGCGCGGCGCTGGTCCAGCAGAGAGGGGGGGGGGCAGGGCAGGGCCGTGGCGTGGGGCTCGACGAGGTCTGTTGCGGATTTCGGTTGTGAGGGGGCCGTTTTCGGGCCTGGGGGAGGAGGAGGAGGAGGAGGAGGAGGAGGAGGAGGAGGTGAGGAGGCAGGAGGAGGAGGTAGGGAGGAAAGAATAAGGAAGAGGCGGAGGAGGAGGAGGAGGAGGAGGAGGAGGAGGAGGAATAAGGAGGAGGAGGAGAAGGAGGAGCAGGAGGAGGACGAAGATGATGAGGAGGAGGAGGAGCAGGAGGAGGAGGAGGAGGAGGAGGAGGAGGAGGAGGAGTCAGAGGAGGAGGAGGAGGCCCATCATCGCCCCTCGGGCGCAATGCCCACGTGTGCGCCTTGTCCGAGAGGGGGCCGTTTTCGGGCCTGGGGGCCGTCAAAGAGCACGGGCCTGGGACAACAAACTGCAGCAAGTGGACTCCGGGATAGGGGTCCAGTGCAGGGGCCGAGGTTGACCGGATTTGCCTCCCCCCCCCCCTCTTGGCCGATCTCCTGGGGGCCTGCCGTCGAGGATCCGCAATCCGCCCGAACCACGGGAATCTCGTCAGAGGGCCCCCGAGGTCCTCCGAAACCCGCGGAGGACCTCCGGAAACCTCCTGGGACCCTCCTCTTCCATACCTTCCGACCTCTGCGGAAGGCGCGGAAGGTGATGCACTGAAACTATTGAAAGCCTCGGGAAACGCAAGAGCACCCAGCGTTTCACGAAGCGCAAGAGTGTAAAAGGTCAGCACGGAAGGTTTGGAGGGTAGGTCGGCCGTCCTCGGGAAATCCTTCGGAAGTCCTCCTCGGTGGGCTGGCGCCCCTACTCCCCCCGCCGAGCGCCCGGGCGCCCGCGCACCGATGGCTCCCGCGCGGCGCCCGCGCGGGGGCGCGCTGGTGGCGGTGGGCGCGCTGCTGCTGCTGCGGCTGCGGCCGGCGGCCGCCGCGCCGCCCGTGGACGACACGCTGGCGGGCATGCTCGGGAAGATCAAGTCGGACCCCTGGCGGTGGTTTGCTGCGCTGTGTTCTCCTCTTGGGAGGGTCTGCACCCCATTTTTGTTGTCCGCCATTGTACGTCATGTTTTCACGTGCTGCTTCCGACCGACGGGCGGCCCTCTTAGATGGGGTCGGAGGATCGCGCCTCGTCGCCGCTGCGTCGGCGATGCCGCTCGATGTGGAGCCCGATTCTCTCCACGCCGACGGCGCCGACGTCGTGAGTGCATCGCCAAGCCTCGCCGATGCATCGATCGACCGGTGCGTCGACGATGCGGCGCGATCCTCAGACCCCACCTGCTCCGACCCCATCTAGGAGGCCTCTAGACAAGGGGGTGGGTTCCTGCGAGCCTCGGCACAGAAGAGGGCTTCCCCCCCGTCCTTTCCTGGGGCGGGGAACAGCGCCCCTGGCCGCGAAAGGTTCACTGCGCTTCCCCCCAAGGGTCTTCGTCATCGTCGTCCTCGTCGTCGCTCGTCGATCCTTTCCGCCGGCGCGAGAGGGATACCTTCTCGCGCGTCGAGAGCAGGCGGCGCGCCGACATGTCTCGAGCGGGGCTTGGACGAGGGTAGGTCTGCTCCAGAGCGTTCCGGAACGCTGTCAGAAGGCTGCGGCGCCCGAGACATCCTGCAGAGCCGCCGGATCCCAGAGATTCCCGATTTATCCGTACCCGATTTGATCCTAGGTCCTAGCTGCGTCTTCATGCTCGCGCTCGGAGACATCCTCCAGGAGCCGCCGGATCTCAGAGGTTCTCGATTTACCCGTACCCGATGTTATCTTCGTCTCAGCTGCGTCCTCGAAGCTCCGCGCGGAGTTCTTGTGGGTGTCGGCGCCGAGGCTCCTCGCAGCGCGGCGCCATCCGCGCCGCTACATTGCTGGCGCGCTTCGCGCTCGCCGGGGGAGAGCGGGGGCCCACTGATAGAACACCAAGCCAGAAATCTCACACATGCAACACACACGCCTCCACACCACAGCACATCACAACACAGCACAACAACACCACACCACACCATACCACGACACAACATAACACAACACAGCGCAGCACAACACTGCAAACAACAGCACAGTACAGCACTGCACAGCACAGCACAACACAGCACAGCATAGCACAACACAACACAACACACTCACTCACTCATTCACTCGCTCACTCGCACACAATCACACAAACACATAGTGATGAGCACATATCTCAAAGAACTTTCTCCCAACACCAGGACAGGCATCGCAGCAGCCGAAAGGCTTTACAGGATCGGAATCATGTTTATCAGAGGGCGACCAGGGTTCGGCATTTAAGCGTCGCCTGCGTGCCGAACTCCCGAGGCTTTACGGCCTTCTCTGACAGATGTGGCTGCAGGATAAAGCTAAGCATGACAACGTACAGGCAGCAAGCAAACATGAAAGAGAGAGCGCGAAATATCTGGCGCTTGCGATGCTGTGGCTTCATGTGCTGGAGGTGGCAACGTTTCTGGCCTGCGGCGCAGGCATCAATACCACTCTATGGAACAACAAAGCTGCAAGAGGAAACACACACACACACAGACACAGACACAGAAAGAGACACACACATTCACACACACGAGGACTCTGACGAACAAACATGGGACCTGGGGGAAATTGGATGGGGAAAACGACAGATCAGAACATATGGAGCATGTAAGGCATCCTGGGACTTGTGCCTATTCATTGGTGCCCCCCACGGCAATGTCCTGGCACCCGATGGCACCACGGACCCGCAGAAGCTCTGGGGCACCCTCAGGGGCCCTCGAGTCTTGACGAATCGCGAGCCCCAGCGTCTCTGGTAGCACGCTTCCCTTATCGTGAGCGCCTCTTCCGGGGCGCACGGCCCGAGAACTCCGCGCTCCCTCCCAGGACCCCGCGCTGCTCCAGGAGCGCCACGAGAGCCACGGCCACGTCCTCCTCGGGGAGCCCAAGAGCCAGAAGGAGGCCTCGGCGGCCTGCATGCTCGACAGCGCGGCCGCGATCATCCGGGCGAACGGGGTGAAGGGCATCGTGAACGGCCTGCAGTTTGACCTCGCGGCCTGCTGCAGAAAGGCCCGCGGCGCGCGCCATGGGGAGTGGCGCGGAGGGGGGGGGGTCCAGCCTTGCGAGAACTCTCGGGGGGGGGGGCTTCCTAGAAGGCGGGGGGCTTCTCAGACGCCGTCGCAATTTCCTTGTTGTTTTTATTGTTGTTGTTGTTGCTGTTGTGGTTGTTCTTGTCATTGTTGTTGTTGCTGCTGTTGCTGTTGTTGTTGCTGTCGCTGTTGCTGTTGCTGTTGATTGTTGCTGTTGTAATTAGTTGCTGTTGATGTTGTTGTTGCTGTTGCGGTTGCGGTTGCGGTTGCTGCTGCTGTTGTTGTTGTTGTTGGTGTGGTTTTGGCTTGGGTGTTTGTTTTTTCTGTTTCCCCTCGTGTGAGTATGACCCTTCGCCGGAGAGACCCTTGGCGCGGGCCAGCAGTTGTCTCACTCCACCTGGCCTGCCCCCCCCCCCCGTGCGCGGCCCCCTCAAGCCGCCCACCGAAGTTAGGAGGGGAAACAACGCACAGACAATTATGTGTCGATTCCCCTGGTAATCTGGGAAATCACCGGAAGTCGGGGTGACGACGAACATCCCCCAAACTATTGAACAATACGGGGGGACCCTGTGATTTGTGTCTAGTGTTTTGTGTGTCCCTGGGCTCCTTCACGAAGTGCACTCTTGCCTAGGGCCACTCCCAGAGATCCAAAATATTGACAAACAAATCGAGGCGGAGGCGTGTCGCAGCTTTTCGGCCTCTGGGAGCCCTCGCTGGGCCCCGGGACCGTCAAGAGACGACTGAGGATGAGAAGCTGGTCCCAGGGAATGGGTCGAGACCTCGAGGGGCTCCGTATTAAAAAATAACACGATCGGGGGTGGACAGAACCCCCAACAGTGACACGTCGATTAGTGAATTGCCCGTTTTCGGTTCTCGAGAGGGCGCCGTGGCCGTTATTTTCCAGGCTCGCGCCCGCCAGGTTTGGGCCTCAGGTCGTTTTCACTAAACAACGTTTTACTAAAGGGGGGTCTGTCCATCCCCGACACGACATTGGATCTGTGGGCTCTTGCGTGTAGGCGACCTCTAACCGAAGAAGAAGAAGAATCACAGAGTGCGCAAACATACTCTTCTGGATGTCCGCACGGATTCCTGGGACATCGGCGCGGAGCGCCGTCTACTCCATGGCGCGCAGGAAGCGCACCTGGCTCGGCACTGGCCCAAGAGTCTCCGACCACCTCGTCGGTGCGCGCAGCTCTGCGCCCCATGTCCATGTTTGGTGGCCCCGGGGCGCTTAGAGGCGACTCATTTAAGCCGTCTTTTTTTCTGGCCGTTTCGTCTGGGAGATCCTGAACATTCCAAATCATCGGACGCACCTTTCACGCAGATCGCGACGTCACGGTCCAACACCACAATCTATTTTCACAGATTTACACCAACACATTCAAAACAATATGGAGTTCAATGGCGATGGACGTCGCGTTCAACGGGCGCACGGGGGAGACATCGAAGAAGAACGCTTCGGTGATCTTTTGTATTCTCTGTTTTGCCGATCGGCGCGTGCCCACGCACCCCCCCTTTCTCCCCCCCGCCCCTGTGGAGTAGATCTTGGTTGTTTTTGGCGCCTGTGTCGAGCAGGTGGAGTCTCCCCCATATGGACGCACTGTTGCAAACAGACGCCATGAAGCAGAGATCTGGCGCCAGACCCCCCCCCCTCCCCCCTCCCTTCCGCCCACTGTCGAAACGCCGCATCAAAAGACGCTCACAAGATCCATTGTTGGTGGCCCCGGGGCCCCATAACGGGCGCACGGGGGAGAAATCGAAGAAGAACGCTTGGATTGAAAAAGCAGATGAAGCGCGCGCAAAGGCTTGTGACACCGCGGCGATTGTTCAACCTTGAATCGATCACAGCCCAGATCGTTCAAGATTGAATTCCGTCGGGTCCAATGGCGTCACCGTGCCCCTCGGTGCTTCTGCGTCGCAGAACTCAACCTTGAACGCCTTCGCTGGCGTCGCCGGCGCGCCAGCGCGGCATGAACCTACCAGTAGGTTCATGCGGCGATGGCGCGCCTGAGACGCAGGCGAAGGCTTTCAAGGTTGAACTCCGCATGCAAGAACGACGCGCAAGCACCGATGGGGCACGGAAACGCAACGGGGCCCGACGGAATTCAATCTTGAACGATCGGGGCTGCGGTCGATGCAAGGTTGAGCGATCGACGCAGTGGCAAAACCCTTTGCGCTCGCCGACGCCGCACGAACGTACAGTCGGCCCTGATTCGCAGGTCGACCGTGGCGAAACGCACCCTTGTGTCCTGTCTACCCTGACCTATGCAACCCGCATGTCCTTTGGTGCTCTGGGGCCACGCTGCCGTCGCAAGAGTCTTGTGCCCTCTCGGGTGTCCCGTCCAATCGTGCGGAGGACGAGGAGGAGGAGGAGGCGGAGGAGGAAGAGGAGGAGGAGGAGGAGGAGGAGGAGAAGGCTGAGGAGAAGGAGGAGGAGAAGGAAGAAAGAGGGAGAAGAGGAGGAGGAGGAGAAGGAGGAGAAGGAGGAGAAGGAGGAGGAGGAGGAGGAGGACGAGGAAGAGGAGGAGGAAGAGGAGGAGGTTGAGGCGGAGGCGGAGGCGGAGGGGGCCACGTTGCCGTCCTCTCGGGTGTCCTGGCCAATCGTGCCCGACTGTGCCGCAGGTCAGCCCCCCGGCCCTCCCAGAGAAGCACCCCGCCTGCTGCCGCCCCCCCTCGGCAGTGCACCCCCTCCGTCTAGACTTACGTCGGGCCTGTCCCTCTACAGCGGGAGAGTTCACAAACAGTCGAAAAAATAGTCTGGGGACGATTTTTCGACTATTTTCGAGCATTTCTGGGCTGTTTTTTTAGGGGGGGGTATTTTCGTCCAAACTCCGCCTGTAGGGGGTCAGGCCCGACCTGAGGCCAGACTTGCAACGCCCTGTTTTCTTCAATGCGCGGCTCCCTGAAGTCCCGACCCCTCATCCCGAGCCGCCCCCTCATCAAGTGCATTCCCAACCGGGGGTGCAGCCGAAAGGGCGCCGCTTTCGCACCACCCCCTTTGCGCTGGTCTCGGAGGAAGGCAACGTGAGACAACGGCCGTGAGACAACGGTGGCCAAAGGGGCTCAAAATCGGTCCCTGGACCCCTCCCGGGGTCCAAACGCACAGATTTTTCACGCTGCGTCCAGCCGTGGCGACGAGGAGGCCCCTCGGAGGCGACAAAGGCAAAAACGTCACCCTTGCCTCACCCTGCCCTCCTCTGATGGTCTCCCCGTGGCCGGATCGATCGCACCACACGCGGAACGCCATGCTTCCTTGCCCCGGGACCGGCCCCTCGGCCCGAGCCGCCTGCCGACGGCAGCCCAGGGCCCGGCGGGCGCACCCGGAGGCCGGCAGGGGCCAGGAACTTCCCGTCGCGGCTTTTCGGGACCCGAAGGGGTCTGGGGAGTCCCAGACCCCCTGGAGTCATGAACAAATCACGACGGGAGGTTTTTCTATGATTTCGGCCTCCGGGGGCCCTTACCGGCCCTCGGGACCGTCAAAAGACGACTCGGGGTGAAAAGCCGGTCCCGGCGAATGGGTCCGGACCTCTGGGGGCCGCGCCATGAAAAAATCATGACGTCGGGGGTCTGGGGAATCCAGGGGGGAGGCGGCGATCCCCCCCCCCCAGCAGAAGACATTCCGACGTCCTCGTCTTCGTCCTCGTCCTCGCCGTCGTCCTCGCGTGGCGTCCCGCCCGCGGAGAGGACGAGTTCGCCTGCCGGGAGGACGTGGGGGAGGCCTACGGCCTCCTGACCCAGCTGCGCCACGGGCGCACCAGCGGCGCGGAGGCCCAGGACTCGGGCGGCGCCGGGGGGTTGGTCCCCCCCCCCCCCAGAGTCGGGGGCGGCGAAGAGTCGGAGGTGGATAGACCTCCTACCCTGACACGTCGATTGAGGAACTGGCCGTTTTCGGTTCGCGAGAGGGCGTCGCGGCCGTCATTCTGCGGGTCCAGGTCCGTCGGTTTCGGTCCCAGGCCGTTTTCACTAAGGGGAGGTTTACTAAAGGGAGGTTTGTCCACCGCCGAAAGAGGGGGGTGACGACCAGGGGTGGGTGGATATCACGGCGTGGGCCACGATCTTTTCCCAGATTTCGCGGCGCCTTCCTGCTCGTTTCGTTGCGTCCTTGGGCCCCCCATTGGGGCCGCGCACGTGCCGCTGGCCACGATCCGCACCCTCCCCTCTTGGACGCCCCCCTCGTGGCCGCCCCCGACAGAGGTCCAAGGTGCCTTGGCATCGCTCGGACGTGTGCGTTTTTCCGTCGGCGAGGACCATCGAGGAGCATCCTTGATCATTTGGCGAAAAAGCCACGCACGAAACCAAACAAAAACACACAGGAAATGGACGCCCAAGCGATGGCCAGGCGCAGCCCAAGACGCTCAGACGAGGGCCGCTCTGGGCTCGGGTTCTCGGGCCGCTCCTTCGGTCCGTGTCGCGGAGCCTGCTGCCGGCCGGGAGAAGCCCTCCACCGTTCCTTCCTGTGCGCTCCGTGGCGCCAGCGTCGCAGAGCGGATGTCTCGTTCGGGAGACGATGGGATGGGCCCAGAGGGTCCTGGAGAAGTTCGCTCTGGATCTGGGGGTGGATTTCGTGCGGGTCTGTTGTGGCCAGGGACGAAGATTTTTTTTAATGTTTTTGTTTTGGAAGAGAAGGACATCCACGCGAAATTCGCTTCGTTTTTCGTTCGCCGTCTTGGGGTCCGCACGGACAGGAATCCATGCGCAAATGCACTGCAGCACGTCTGCAAGGCAAGTGCACTGATGCACCCCTTGTGCGCTTGCGCGAGGAGGTGCAACACTGGCGCGGCCTATCCGCTTCGGCTCGGACTGCGTGTCGGTGCGGCCCGCTCCCGCGTACATTCTGCTCCGATCCGCTCTACCGATTCCATGCTGGCTGATCCTGCGTTGGAAAAGACTCAGGCGATCGCAAACATGGATCCCAGACCCCCGACGTCATGATTTTTTCATGACGCGACCCCCAGAGGTCCGGACCTATTCGACTGGACCGGTTTTTCACCCCGAGTCGTTTTTTGACGGCCCCGAGGGCCGGTAAGGGCCCCCAGAGGCCGAA